CGACACAGGGGACAGCAGAGGGGACAGGGGACAGCAGCGACACAGGGGACAGCAGAGGGGACAGGGGACAGCAGCGACACAGGGGACAGCAGAGGGGACAGGGGACAGCAGCGACACAGGGGACAGCAGAGGGGACAGGGGACAGCAGCGACACAGGGGACAGCAGAGGGGACAGGGGACAGCAGCGACACAGGGGACAGCAGAGGGGACAGGGGACAGCAGCGACACAGGGGACAGCAGAGGGGACAGGGGACAGCAGCGACACAGGGGACAGCAGAGGGGACAGGGGACAGCAGCGACACAGGGGACAGCAGAGGGGACAGGGGACAGCAGCGACACAGGGGACAGCAGAGGGGACAGGGGACAGCAGCGACACAGGGGACAGCAGAGGGGACAGGGGACAGCAGCGACACAGGGGACAGCAGAGGGGACAGGGGACAGCAGCGACACAGGGGACAGCAGCGGGGACAGGGGACAGCAGCGGGGACGGGACAGCAGTGGGGACAGGGGACAGCAGAGGGGACAGGGGACAGCAGCGACACAGGGGACAGCAGTGGCGACACAGGGGACAGGGGACAGCAGCGGGGGCAGGGGACAGGGGACAGCAGCGGGGACAGCAGCGACACAGGGGACAGCAGCGGGGACAGCCGGACCTGCCCTGGCCTGTCCCCTCTCCGCCCCAAGGAACCCAAATCCTCTTTTCTTCCCCGCAGAAGGAAAGGGGAGAAAAAAAAAACCAAAAAAACCCAAAAAAACCCAACCCGAACCAAGGCGGGGAAGAGCTTTTTTATTCGATTGTTTGGTTTTTTAAGAACTCTCCTCCCCCCTCGCCTGTTTTGGGTTTGGGGTTTTTTTTTGGGTTTTTGGGTTGTTGTTTTTTTTTTTTTTTTTTTCCACATAAAAATAGCAGCGAGCAGCTCGGGAAGGGAAGAGGGGAAAGGCTTTAAATTTAAAAGCCTCGAGGAGAGGGGAGGGGAGGAGGGAGAGATAAAATAAGGAGGGGAGGAAAAAAGGGAAAAAATAGGAAAAGAAGGGGGGGAAATGTGGAAGAAAATGGGTGGAAATCAGGGGGAAAAGGGAAAAAATGGGGGAAAATGGAAAAAATAGGGGGGAAAAGGGGGAGAAGAAGGGAATAAAATCCCGAGAGAAGGGGATAAAATCCCGAGAGAAGGGCGAGCGCGGGGAGCTCGGGCTCCGGGTGAGCGCGGCCCGGGGCGGCATCAGCGGAGCGGCGGCGGAACCGGGGAGACAGCCGGGGAGGGGGGGACAGGGACACCGGGACACGGTGGGACAGGGGGGGACAGCCAGGGAGAGAGCGGGGACAGGGGGGACACGGGAGGGACAGCAAGGGAGGGAGGGGGACACCGGGACAGGGGGACACCGGGGGGGACACGGGGAGCTCCATCAGGGTCCTGGCTCTGCCCGGTTTGGGGACATTGCCGTGGCGAGTTTGGGGACAGGGGGACATCCCCGCGGGCACAGGCGCGTGCTGCCACACGGGAGGGGGACAATGGTGACAAAGCGGGGGGGAGGACACAGCGGCAAGGGGAGCGCGGTGACAAGGGGTGGCCCGGTGGCACCGACAGCACGGCGCCGAGGGGGACACGGTGACAAGCGGCCAGGGGACCGCGGCGACAAGGAGGGACGCGGCGGCCAGGCGCCACCTCGTGCCTGTCCCCCCCGCCGGCCGCGGGGCCACCGCTGTCACCTGGGCGCAGTGTCACCTCGGTGACACCCCAGTGCCACCCCCGCGGCTCGTGAGACCAAACGAACCCGCGCCACCAGCGTGCCACCGCCCGGCGACACCGCAGGGCTGGCACCGCCACCTCCCCGCCATCCCGGCCCCTGCCAGGGGACGAGGGACGGGGACAGTGGCGGGAGGTGGCTCTGGCTGCGACAATCGCCACCAGCCCCGCCGGCGGTTTGTCACCGCGGCTGGCGCGGGGAGGTGGCACTGGGGGGTGGCACTGAGGGGGGGACACTGGGGAGGTGGCACGGGGAGGTGGCACTGAGGGGGTGACACTGCGGAGGTGGCACTGAGGGGGTGACACTGAGGGGGTGACACTGCGGAGGTGGCACTGGGAGGTGGCACTGAGGGGGTGACACTGCGGAGGTGGCACTGAGGGGGTGACACTGGGGAGGTGGCACTGCGGAGGTGGCACTGAGGGGGTGACACTGGGGAGGTGGCACTGGGGAGGTGGCACTGGGGAGGTGGCACTGAGGGGGTGGCACTGCGGAGGTGGGTGCCAGCTCAGTGCCCGTTTTCCCCCCGATCTCCCCCAAAATCCCGGTGCCAGCTCAGTGCCCGTTTTCCCCCCAATCTCCCCCAAAATCCCGGTGCCAGCTCAGTGTCCATTTTCCCCTCGATCTCCCCCAAAATCCCGGTGCCAGTTCAGTGCCCGTTTTCCCCCCAATCTCCCCCAAAATCCCGGTGCCAGCTCAGTGCCCATTTTCCCCTCGATCTCCCCCAAAATCCCGGTGCCAGCTCAGTGCCCGTTTTCCCCTCGATCTCCCCCAAAATCGGGCCCACCCCCGCAGGCCCGGTGCCAGCCCGGTACCGGCCCGGTGCCAGCCCGGTGCCCGCGGGCTGCGGGTCCTCCCCGCCCCCTCTCCCGCTCTCATCTCCCTCCCCTCCCCCTCCCGGCACCTTCCCCCCTTTGATCTCGCCCCGCTCCCTCCAGCCCCCGCTTCTCCTTCATCTTCCCCCAAAATTCCCGCAGCCGCTGCCCACCCTGGGGCGGGGGTGGCACCGGGACACCCCGGGCTGTTTTATCCCGGGTATCCCCGGATTCCCTATCCCCAGGATCCCTGAATTCCCCATCCCGGTCATCCCTGGATTCCCCATCCCAGGGATTTGGGGCTGTTTTGTCCCGGGGATCCCCGGATTCCCCATCCCGAGGATCCCTGGATTCCCCATCCCAGGGATTTGGGGCTGTTTTATCCCGGAGATCCCGGAATTCCCCATCCCGAGGATCCCTGGATTTTCCATCCCAGGGATTTGGGGCTGTTTTGTCCCGGGGATCCCTGAATTCCCCATCCCGGTCATCCCTGGATTTCCCATCCCGAGGATCCCTGAATTCTCCATCCCCAGGATCCCTGAATTCCCCATCCCGAGGATCCCCGGATTCCCCATCCCAAGGATCCCTGGATTCCCCATCCCAGGGATTTGGGGCTGTTTTATCCCGGAGATCCCCGGATTCCCCATCCCGATGATCCCTGAATTCACCATCCCGAGGATCCCTGAATTCCCCATCCCGGTCATCCCTGGATTTCCCATCCCGAGGATCCCTGAATTCTCCATCCCCAGGATCCCTGAATTCCCCATCCCGAGGATCCCCGGATTCCCCATCCCAAGGATCCCTGGATTCCCCATCCCAGGGATTTGGGGCTGTTTTATCCCGGAGATCCCCGGATTCCCCATCCCGATGATCCCTGAATTCACCATCCCGAGGATCCCTGAATTCCCCATCCCGGTCATCCCTGGATTCCCCATCCCGAGGATCCCTGAATTCCCCATCCCAGGGATTTGGGGCTGTTTTATCCCGGGTATCCCCGGATTCCCCATCCCGAGGATCCCTGGATTCCCCATCCCAGGGATTTGGGGCTGTTTTATCCCGGGTATCCCCGGATTCCCCATCCCGAGGATCCCTGGATTCCCCATCCCAGGGATTTGGGGCTGTTTTATCCCGGGTATCCCCGGATTCCCCATCCCGAGGATCCCTGGATTCCCCATCCCGAGGATCCCTGAATTCCCCATCCCAGGGATTTGGGGCTGTTTTATCCCGGGTATCCCCGGATTCCCCATCCCGAGGATCCCTGAATTCCCCAATCCCAGGGATTTGGGGCTGTTTTATCCCGGGTATCCCCGGATTCCCCATCCCGAGGATCCCTGAATTCCCCAATCCCAGGGATTTGGGGCTGTTTTATCCCGGGTATCCCCGGATTCCCCATCCCGAGGATCCCTGAATTCCCCAATCCCAGGGATTTGGGGCTGTTTTATCCCGGGTATCCCCGGATTCCCCATCCCGAGGATCCCTGAATTCCCCATCCCGGTCATCCCTGGATTCCCCATCCCGAGGATCCCTGAATTCCCCATCCCAGGGATTTGGGGCTGTTTTATCCCGGGCATCCCCGGATTCCCCATCCCGAGGATCCCTGAATTCCCCATCCCAGGGATTTGGGGCTGTTTTATCCCGGTCATCCCTGGATTCCCCATCCCGAGGATCCCTGAATTCCCCATCCCGAGGATCCCCGGATTCCCCATCCCGAGGATCCCGGACTCCCAGGGATCCTGGGATGCCGGGAGGAGCAGCAGACGCCCCCACACGGGGATTTTGGGTGGATTTTGGTTTTTTTTGGGGACGTTTGGAGCCGCCGGGGGTTTTATTTTCGGGATCAAAAGCAGGAGGGCCCCCAGAGCCTGTGAATTTTGGGGGTTCAGAAGGAGAGGAGCGGGACGGGGACCCCGAGCTGTGCCGTTCCGTTCCGTGCCACATTCCAGAATAAAACCCAGGACTGGAGCCGGGAGAAGCGGGGGTCGCGCTGCCCGCCCCCTGCCCCAGGGCACGGCCGCGTCCCGAGCCCTCCCCCGCTCCTGTCCCTGTCCCTGTCCCTGTCCCTGTCACATCCCGCTCGATTCCCGCGGGCCGCGTGACCCCGGGATCGATCCCCAACAGCCGGGATCGGGAGCGGGAGCGGCGGGGCCCGGGCTGGGGGGGGTTGGGGGTCCCCGGGAGGTCGTGGGGAGCTCCGAAGGGGATCCTGGGGGGATCCTGGGCAGCTCCGGGAGGATCGGGGCAGCTCGGGGGGATCCTGAGCAGCTCCGGGGGATCCCGGGAGGATCCTGGGGGGGGTCTCGGCGGGATGTGCCGTGCCCGGTGGTGACCGTGGTGCCGTGCCCGGTGGTGATGGCGGTGCCGTGCCCGGTGGTGACGGCGGTGCCGTGCCCGGTGGTGACTGCGGTGCCGTGCCCGGTGGTGACCGCGGTGCCGTGGCCGCAGCGGTGCAGACGCGTTTCGTGGAGGAGCCCGAGGACCAGACGGTGGTGGCCGGGCAGAGAATCGTCCTGTCCTGCGTGGTGCTCAACTACTCCGGCATCGTGCAATGGACCAAGGACGGGCTGGCCCTGGGCATGGGCCAGGGCCTCAAAGGTGCCGAGGGACAGGGGGGGCCCCGGGGTGACACCGGGAGGGGAGGGGTGGCCCCGGGGGTGGCACCCACGGGGCAGGGCCGAAGGGTACCTGGGAAAGGGGGGCTGGCTCTGGGGGTGTCCCCGTGTGACTTCCCAGTGCTGCCCCACAGCCTGGGCGTGGGATCGGGGTGTCCCAATGTATGACCCAGGGGATCGGGGTGTCCCTGTGGGATCAGGGTGTCCCTGTGGGGATTGGGGTGTCCCCATGTGTGACCCATGGGATCGGGGTGTCCCTGTGGGGTCAAGGTGTCCCTGTGGGATTGGGGTGTCCCCATGTGTGACCCATGGGATTGGGGTGTCCCTGTGGGATTGGGGTGTCCCCATGTGTGACCCATGGGATTGGGGTGTCCCTGTGGGATTGGGGTGTCCCCATGTGTGACCCATGGGATCGGGGTGTCCCTGTGGGGTCAAGGTGTCCCTGTGGGATTGGGGTGTCCCCATGTGTGACCCATGGGATTGGGGTGTCCCTGTGGGATTGGGGTGTCCCTGTGGGATTGGGGTGTCCTTGTGGGATTGGGGTGTCCCCATGTGTGACCCATGGGATCGGGGTGTCCCTGTGGGATCGGGGTGTCCCTGTGAGGTTTGGGGTGTCCCTGTGGGATTGGGGTGTCCCCATGTGTGACCCAGGGGATTGGGGTGTCCCTGTGGGACTGGGGTGTCCCTGTGGGATTGGGGTGTCCCTCTGGGGTTGCGGTGTCCCTGAGTGACCAGGGTGTCCCTGTGGGATTGCAATGTCTCCATGTGTGACCCATGGGATCAGTGTGTCCCTGTGGGATCAGGATGTCCCTGTGGGATTGGGGTGTCCCTCTGGGGTTGCGGTGTCCCTGAGTGACCAGGGTGTCCCTGTGGGATTGCAATGTCTCCATGTGTGACCCATGGGATCAGTGTGTCCCTGTGGGATCAGGATGTCCCTGTGGGATTGGGGTGTCCCTCTGGGGTTGCGGTGTCCCTGAGTGACCAGGGTGTCCCTGTGGGATTGCAATGTCTCCATGTGTGACCCATGGGATCAGTGTGTCCCTGTGGGATCAGGATGTCCCTGTGGGATTGGGGTGTCCCTCTGGGGTTGCGGTGTCCCTGAGTGACCAGGGTGTCCCTGTGGGATTGCAATGTCTCCATGTGTGACCCATGGGATCAGTGTGTCCCTGTGGGATCAGGATGTCCCTGTGGGATTGGGGTGTCCCTCTGGGGTTGCGGTGTCCCTGAGTGACCAGGGTGTCCCTGTGGGATTGCAATGTCTCCATGTGTGACCCATGGGATCAGTGTGTCCCTGTGGGATCAGGATGTCCCTGTGGGATTGGGGTGTCCCTCTGGGGTTGCGGTGTCCCTGAGTGACCAGGGTGTCCCTGTGGGATTGCAATGTCTCCATGTGTGACCCATGGGATCAGTGTGTCCCTGTGGGATCAGGATGTCCCTGTGGGATTGGGGTGTCCCTCTGGGGTTGCGGTGTCCCTGAGTGACCAGGGTGTCCCTGTGGGATTGCAATGTCTCCATGTGTGACCCATGGGATCAGTGTGTCCCTGTGGGATCAGGATGTCCCTGTGGGATTGGGGTGTCCCTCTGGGGTTGCGGTGTCCCTGAGTGACCAGGGTGTCCCTGTGGGATTGCAATGTCTCCATGTGTGACCCATGGGATCAGTGTGTCCCTGTGGGATCAGGATGTCCCTGTGGGATTGGGGTGTCCCTCTGGGGTTGCGGTGTCCCTGAGTGACCAGGGTGTCCCTGTGGGATTGCAATGTCTCCATGTGTGACCCATGGGATCAGTGTGTCCCTGTGGGATCAGGATGTCCCTGTGGGATTGGGGTGTCCCTCTGGGGTTGCGGTGTCCCTGAGTGACCAGGGTGTCCCTGTGGGATTGCAATGTCTCCATGTGTGACCCATGGGATCAGTGTGTCCCTGTGGGATCAGGATGTCCCTGTGGGATTGGGGTGTCCCTCTGGGGTTGCGGTGTCCCTGAGTGACCAGGGTGTCCCTGTGGGATTGCAATGTCTCCATGTGTGACCCATGGGATCAGTGTGTCCCTGTGGGATCAGGATGTCCCTGTGGGATTGGGGTGTCCCTCTGGGGTTGCGGTGTCCCTGAGTGACCAGGGTGTCCCTGTGGGATTGCAATGTCTCCATGTGTGACCCATGGGATCAGTGTGTCCCTGTGGGATCAGGATGTCCCTGTGGGATTGGGGTGTCCCTCTGGGGTTGCGGTGTCCCTGAGTGACCAGGGTGTCCCTGTGGGATTGCAATGTCTCCATGTGTGACCCATGGGATCAGTGTGTCCCTGTGGGATCAGGATGTCCCTGTGGGATTGGGGTGTCCCTCTGGGGTTGCGGTGTCCCTGAGTGACCAGGGTGTCCCTGTGGGATTGCAATCCTGGGAAAGGGGGGCTGGCTCTGGGGGTGTCCCCGTGTGACTTCCCAGTGCTGCCCCACAGCCTGGGCGTGGGATCGGGGTGTCCCAATGTATGACCCAGGGGATCGGGGTGTCCCTGTGGGATCGGGGTGTCCCTGTGAGGTTTGGGGGGTCCCTGTGGGATTGGGGGGTCCCCATGTGTGACCCAGGGGATTGGGGTGTCCCTGTGGGACTGGGGTGTCCCTGTGGGATTGGGGTGTCCCTCTGGGGTTGCGGTGTCCCTGAGTGACCAGGGTGTCCCTGTGGGATTGCAATGTCTCCATGTGTGACCCATGGGATCAGTGTGTCCCTGTGGGATCAGGATGTCCCTGTGGGATTGGGGTGTCCCTGTGAGGTTTGGGGTGTCCCTATGGGAGTGGGGTGTCCCTGTGGGACCGGGGTGTCCCTGTGGGATCAGGGTGTCCCTGTGGGGTGGGGGTGTCCCTGTGGGACCGGGGTGTCCCTGTGGGATTGGGGTGTCCCCATGTGTGACCCATGGGATTGGGGTGTCCCTGTGGGACCGGGGTGTCCCTGTGGGGTGGGGGTGTCCCTGAGGGATCAGGGTGTCCCTATGGGAGTGGGGTGTCCCTGTGGGACCGGGGTGTCCCTGTGGGATTGGGGTGTCCCCATGTGTGACCCATGGGATTGGGGTGTCCCTGTGGGATTGGGGTGTCCCTGTGGGATTGGGGTGTCCCTGTGGGATTGGGGTGTCCCTGTGGGATTGGGGTGTCCCTGTGGGATTGGGGTGTCCCTGTGGGATTGGGGTGTCCTTGTGGGATTGGGGTGTCCCCATGTGTGACCCATGGGATCGGGGTGTCCCTGTGGGATCGGGGTGTCCCTGTGAGGTTTGGGGTGTCCCTGTGGGATTGGGGTGTCCCCATGTGTGACCCAGGGGATTGGGGTGTCCCTGTGGGACTGGGGTGTCCCTGTGGGATTGGGGTGTCCCTCTGGGGTTGCGGTGTCCCTGAGTGACCAGGGTGTCCCTGTGGGATTGCAATGTCTCCATGTGTGACCCATGGGATCAGTGTGTCCCTGTGGGATCAGGATGTCCCTGTGGGATTGGGGTGTCCCTGTGAGGTTTGGGGTGTCCCTATGGGAGTGGGGTGTCCCTGTGGGACCGGGGTGTCCCTGTGGGATCAGGGTGTCCCTGTGGGGTGGGGGTGTCCCTGAGGGATCAGGGTGTCCCTATGGGATTGGGGTGTCCCTGTGGGACCGGGGTGTCCCTGTGGGGGGGGGGTGTCCCTGAGGGATCAGGGTGTCCCTATGGGAGTGGGGTGTCCCTGTGGGACCGGGGTGTCCCTGTGGGATTGGGGTGTCCCCATGTGTGACCCATGGGATTGGGGTGTCTCTGTGGGACTGGGGTGTCCCTGTGGGGCGGGGGTGTCCCTGCAGGGTGGGGGTGTCCCTGTGGGGTCGGTGTCCCCGGTGACCCCGCGCTGTCCCCGCAGCGTGGCCCCGGTACCGCATCGTGGGCACGGCCGACTCGGGCCAGTACAACCTGGAGATCCGCGACGCCGAGCTCTCCGATGACGCCGTCTACGAGTGCCAGGCCACCGAGGCCGCGCTGCGCTCGCGCCGCGCCAAGCTCACCGTGCTCAGTGAGGGCTGGCCCGCGCCCCGCTGTCCCCAGTGCCACACACGGTCCCGTGTACCCCGTGTCCTGTGTCCCCAGTGCCCCACACACGGTCCCCAGTGCCCCACACAGTCCCGTGTCCCCCGTGGTCCTGTGTCCCCAGTGCCCCACACAGTCCCCAATGTCCCACATGGTCCCATGTCTCCCATGTCCCCCATGATCCTGTGTCCCCAATGTCCCACACGGTCCCGTGTCCCCCATGTCCCCCATGGTCATGTGTCCCCAGTGCCCCACACAGTCCCCAGTGTCCCCCATGATCCTGTGTCCCCCAATGTCCCACATGCTCCCGTGTCCCCCATGTCCCCCATGGTCATGTGTCCCCAGTGTCCCACACGGTCCCCAATGTCCCCCATGATCCCGTGTCCCCCATGTTCCCTATGGTCCTGTGTCCCCAGTGCCCCACACACAGTCCCCAGTGCCCCCCATGATCCTGTGTCCCCAGTGCCCCACACAGTCCCCAATGTCCCACATGGTCCCATGTCTCCCATGTCCCCCATGATCCTGTGTCCCCAATGTCCCACACAGTCCCGTGTCCCCCATGTCCCCCATGGTCCTGTGTCCCCAGTGCCCCACACAGTCCCCAATGTCCCACATGGTCCCATGTCTCCCATGTCCCCCATGATCCTGTGTCCCATGGTCCTGTGTCCCCAGTGCATGTCCTACATGCTCCCGTGTCCCCCATGTCCCCCATGGTCCTGTGTCCCCAGTGCCCCACACAGTCCCGTGTCCTCCATGGTCCTGTGTCCCCAGTGTCCCCCATGATCCTGTGTCCCCAGTGCCCCACACGGTCCCCAATGTCCTACATGCTCCCGTGTCCCCCATGTCCCCCATGGTCATGTGTCCCCAGTGTCCCACACGGTCCCCAATGTCCCCCATGATCCCGTGTCCCCCATGTTCCCTATGGTCCTGTGTCCCCAGTGCCCCACACGGTCCCCCAATGTCCCCCATGATCCTGTGTCCCCCAATGTCCCACACAGTCCCCAATGTCCCACATGCTCCCATGTCCCCCATGTCCCCCGTGGTCCTGTGTCCCCAGTGCCCCACACAGTTCCCAGTGCCCCACATGGTCCCCAGTGCCCCACACAGTCCCCAGTGTCCCCCATGATCCTATGTCCCCAATGTCCCACACGGTCCCCAATGTCCCCCATGATCCTGTGTCCCCACTGTCCCACACGGTTCCCAGTGCCCCACACAGTCCCGTGTCCCCAATGTCCCCCCACTGTGTCCTCCATGGCCTCTCATATCCCCTCCCCATTCCCTGTGCCCCACAGTCCCCAGTGTCCCCTCCCCATTCCCGGTGTCCCCTGCCCATTCCCTCTGCCCCCTCCCCACCACCAGGGCGTCCCTCCCGAGCCGGTGTCCCCTCTGTCCCCTCCGCAGTCCCCCCGGAGGACCCCACGATCGACGGCGCCCCCGAGATCCTGCTGAGGGCGGGGACCCCCTACAACCTGACGTGCCGCGCCCGCAGCGCCAAACCCGCGGCCACCATCGCCTGGTTCCGCGACGGGCTGCAGCAGGACGGCGCCGTCACCAGCACGGTACGGCCGGCCCCTCTCGGTGTCCCCAGTGTCCCCAGAACTGTCCCCCCATCCCCTCCGTCCCCCCGGTCCCCTGCCACCATCACCCAGTTGCATGACGGGCTGCAGCAGGACGGCGCCGTCACCAGCACGGTACGGCCGGCCCCTCTCGGTGTCCCCAGAACTGTCACCTTGTCCCCCTGCCCACTGCCACCCAGCCTGTGCTGTCCCCCCTGCCTGCTGTCGCCACCATCGCCCGGTTCTGTGACGGGCTGCAGCAGGACAACGCTGTCACCAGCACGGGATGGGGACACTGCAGTGTGATGGCCGTCCCCTGCCGGTGTCCCCAACCCCCTGGAGTTGTCCCTGTCCCCAGTTCCCCTGGAGCTGTCCCCTGCCGGTGTCCCCAGTTCCCCTGGAGCTGTCCTCAAGTCCCCAGCCCCCTGGAGCTGTCCCTGTCCCCAGCCCCCCTAGAGCTGTCCCTGTCCCCAGCCTGGCTGTCCCTGTCCCGTCCACAGTGTCCCCTCCTGGTGTCCCCAGTTCCCCTGAAGCTGTCCTCAAGTCCCCAGCCCCCCTGGAGCTGTCCCTGTCCCCAGCCCCCCTAGAGCTGTCCCTGTCCCCAGTCCCCTGGAGCTCTCCCTGTCCCGTCCCCAGCCCCCTGGAGCTGTCCCTGTCCCCAGCCTGGCTGTCCCTGTCCCTGTCCCCAGCCTGGCTGTCCCTGTCCCCAGCCCCCTGGAGCTGTCCCCTGGAGCTGTCCCTGTCCCCGCAGGAGGTGCTGGCCGATGGCAAGCGCGAGAGCACCACGAGCCTGCTGGCCATCAACCCCACGGACCTGGACATCGGCCGCGTCTTCTCCTGCCGCAGCTCCAACGAGGCCGTGCCCGCCGGCAAGGAGACCTTCGTCAGGCTCAACGTGCACCGTCAGTGGGACAGGGGGACATGGGGACACTGGGGACACTGGGGACATGGGGACACTAGGGACACTGGGGACATGGGGACATGAGCCTTCGTCAGGCTCAACGTGCACCGTCAGTGGGACAGGGACACATGGGGACACTGGGGACACTGGGGGCATGGGGACACTAGGGACACTGGGGACATGGGGACATGAGCCTTCGTCAGGCTCAACGTGCACCGTCAGTGGGACAGGGGGACATGGGGACACTGGGGACACTGGGGACATGAGCCTTCGTCAGGCTCAACGTGCACCGTCAGTGGGACAGGGACACAGGGGACATGGGGACACTGGGGACACTGGGGACACTGGGGACATGAGCCTTCGTCAGGCTCAACGTGCACTGTCAGTGGGACAGGGACAGGGACATGGGGACGTGGGGACACTGGGGATACGGGACATGGGATATGGGGACACAGGACAATGGGACACAGGACACTGGACAAGGGGACAGTGGGGACACGGGGACACCAGGGTTGGGAGGGGCGGGGAGGTGGATGGGGATTTTGGGGGATTTTGGGGGATTTTTGGGGTGTCGCAGGTGGGAGTGGCGTCTGTGGGTGGGAATTGCGGGAGGGGGTGGAGGAGGAGGAGGAGGAAGGGGAGGAAGAGGAGGAAGAGGAGGAGGAGGAGGAGGAGGAGGCAGGGCCGGGTCCCGGTGGCCAACACCGACCTCCGCTGGCTGCTGCGGGAAGGGGCGGCCACCAGCAGGAGGGGACGGCGGGTGACAGCCCCGGGGAGCGCCCGAGGGTCCCCACGAGGACGGGACGGAGCTCTGGGGACCCCTGGGTGTCCCCCCGAGCCCCTCTGAGCCGGCCCTGTCCCCACAGACCCCCCGACGGTGACCCTGTCCATCCAGCCGCAGACGGTGCAGGAGGGCGAGCGGGTGGTGTTCACCTGCATGGCCACGGCCAACCCCGAGATCAAGGGCTACAGGTGACCCCAAAACCCCTGGGATTGGGGCTGGGGTCACCTGGGGCCACCCAGCGTCCCCACCCTGGCTCTGTGTCCCCTTCCCTTCACAAAATCCCTGGGACTGGGGTCACTGGGGGTCACCTGGGGCCACCCAGCGTCCCCATCTTGGCTCTGTGTCCCCTCCCCAAAACCCTTTGGAAATGGTGACTGGGATTGGGAATTTGGATTGGGATTTTGGATGGGGATTGGGGTTTAGGATCGGGATTGGGGTCCCATGGTGTCCCTGGATGTCCCCAACATGGCTCTGTGTCCCCTCCCCAAAACCCTTTGGAAATGGTGACTGGGATTGGGAACTTGGATTGGGATTTTGGATGGGGATTGGGGTTTAGGATCGGGATCGGGGTCCCACAGTGTCCCTGAATGTCCCCAACATGGCTCTGTGTCCCTTCCCTAAAACCCTTTGGAAACGGTGATTGGGATTGGGAATTAGGATCGGGATTGGGATTTCGGATGGGGATTGGGGTCCCACAGTGTCTCCGGATGTCCCCAACACGGGGGCCAAAGTGGGGGTGATTGGGAATCAGGATTGGGGTCCCACGGTGTCCCTGAATGTCCCCAACATGGCTCTGTGTCCCCTCCCCAAAACCGTTTGGAAATGGTGATTGGGATTGGGAATTGGGATTGGGATTGGGATTTAGAATCAGGATTGGGAATTCAGATCAGTATTGGGGTTCCATGGTGGCTCTGTGTCCCCTCCCCAAAACCCTTTGGAAATGGTGACTGGGATTGGGAATTAGGATCGGGATTGGGATTTTGGATGGGGATTGGGATTTCAGATGGGGATCGGGGTTTCGGACGGGGATCGGGGTTTCGGATCGGGATCGGGGTTTCGGATCGGGACCGGGGTTTCGGACGGGGATCGGGGTTTCAGATCGGGATCGGGGTCCCACGGTGTCCCTGAATGTCCCCAACAGGGCTCTGTGGCCCCTCCCCAAAACCGTTTGGAAATGGTGATTGGGATTGGGAATTAAGGTCGGGATCGGGGTCCCACGGTGTCCCTGAATGTCCCCAACAGGGCTCTGTGGCCCCTCCCCAAAACCGTTTGGAAATGGTGATTGGGATTGGGAATTAGGGTCGGGATCGGGGTTTCGGACGGGGATTGGGGTCCCACGGTGTCCCCGGATGTGCCCAACATGGCTCTGTGTCCCCTCCCCAAAACCCTTTGGAAATGGTGACTGGGATTGGGAATTAGGATCGAGATCGGGGTTTCGGACGGGGATCGGGGTTTCGGACGGGGATCGGGTTTTCGGATCGGGATCGGGGTTTAGGGTCGGGATCGGGGTTTCGGATCGGGATCGGGGTTTAGGGTCGGGATCGGGGGCCCACGGTGTCCCCGGCGTCCCCAGGTGGGCCAAGGGCGGGGTGATCATCGAGGAGGCCAAGGAGAACAGGTACGACACGCAGGTGGACTACACCTTCTTCACGGAGCCCGTGTCCTGCGAGGTGCACAACGACATCGGCAGCACCAACGTCAGCACGCTGGTGGACGTGCACTGTGAGTGACCCCGAGCCGCCCCGGCCCCCGAGCCGGCCCCGAACCCCCTCCCCGCGCCCCAGCCCTGCCTCTGTCCCCGTGTCGCCCCCCAGTCGCCCCCCGGATCGTGGTGGACCCCAAGCCCACGGTGACGGACATCGGCTCCGACGTCACGCTGACCTGCGTGTGGTCGGGGAACCCCCCGCTGACCCTCACCTGGACCAAGAAGGAGTCCAACATGGTAGGACCCCCCTTCCTGGGGCTTCCGGAAGGTTCCCCGTCCTGGCGGGGTCAGGGGGGGCTCCTGATATCCCCCAAATAATTCCCCCAAAAAAAATCCCAAAACAAGCCCCATCCTGGGCAGTTCCCATTCCCTGCTCCCCAGTTTTGGGGTCAGCCCTTCCTCAGGGGTGGCTCCCCCATCCCAAAAATCCCCCGGAGCCTCTCTCCAGGGTCACACTGGGGGGGTGGGATTGGGGAATTTCGGCACATGATTCCCATTGGGATTGGGGTTGGGATTGGGATCAGAATGGCCCCACTGTGGCTTTGTGTCACCCCAAAACTCCCTGGAAATGGAAATTGGGTTTGGGATTGGAGTTGGGATTGGGATTTGGGATTGGGATTTAGGAATGGGGTTTGGTTTGGGATTGGGATTGGGATTTCCATTGGGTTTGGGATTCAGGATTGGGGTTGGGATTGGGTTTGGATTCAGGAATGGGGTTTGGATTGGATTTGGGATTGGAGTTGGGATTCGGGATTGGGGTTTGGGGTTTGGATTGGAGCTGGGATTGGATTTGGGATTGGGGTTGGGATTCGGGATTGGGGTTTGGGGTTTGGATTGGGTTTGGGATTGGATTTGGGATTGGGGTTGGGATTCGGGATTGGGGTTTGGGGTTTGGATTGGAGCTGGGATTGGATTTGGGATTCAGGATTGGGGTTTAGGGTTTGGATTGGGATTCAGGATTGGGGTTTAGGGTTTGGATTGGGATTCAGGATTGGGTTTAGGGTTTGCATTGGGTTTGGGATTGGATTTGGGATTGGGGTCGGGATTCGGGATTGGGGTTTGGATTGGGGTTGGGATTCGGGATTGGGGTTTAGGGTTTGGATTGAGTTTGGGATTGGATTTGAGATTGGCGTCGGGATCGGGGTCAAACGTGACCCCTGAACACCCCCACCATTCCTCCGTGCCCCCTCCACACCCCAAAACCCCCCAGAAACGGGGACCGGGGTCGGGATTCCCGCGGGAAGGATTCAGGGCCAGCCCGCTGCGCTCTGGGGCGCGTCCCGCGTCCCCTCCCGGCTGTCCCCAAGTGTCCCCACCTGGCTGTCCCCAAGTGTCCCCACCTGGCTGTCCCCAAGTGTCCCCACCTGGCTGTCCCCAAGTGTCCCCACCCGGCTGTCCCCAAGTGTCCCCTCCTGTCCCCACAGGTCCTGAGCAACAGCAACCAGCTGTACCTCAAGTCGGTGACGCAGGCGGACGCGGGCCAGTACGTCTGCAAGGCCATCGTCCCCAGGATCGGCGTGGGCGAGAGGGAGGTCACCCTCTTCGTCAACGGTCAGCGACCCCAAAAACCCCAAAAACGCCCCCAAAACCTCCCGGGCTTCCCTGGGAACGGGCAAGGTCCAGGCGTCCCCCCAAAAATGTCGCTGTTTCGGTCGTTTTCGGTCGGGGGAAGCGGAGGGAATTTTAAATTTTTACAGATTGGGGCGGCTCGGATTTGGGATTTGGGGGTTTTTGGTTGGGTTTGGAACTGAGGATTAAGGGGAAGGGCAAAAAGGGAGCACGGGAAGGGAATAAATCCTGAAAAGAGGCTTTCCACACCATCCTTCCTTCCAGGGAATGGGGGTCAGGGGCCAGGAATTCCAGGAATTTCAACCTGGAATTTCCTGTGGGAGTTTCTCCCAATTCCAGCTAAAACAGGGAATTTTATCCCCCTAAAACCCCTGATCCGGAGCCCTTCCCCCAGTTCCAGCTAAAACAGGGAATTTTATCCCCCTAAAACCCCCGATCCGAGCCCTTCCCCCAATTCCAGCTAAAACAGGGAATTTTATCCCCCTAAAACCCCTGATCCCGAGCCCTTCCCCCAGTTCCAGCTAAAACAGGGAATTTTATCCCCCTAAAACCCCTGATCCCGAGCCCTTCCCCCAGTTCCAGCTAAAACAGGGAATTTTATCCCCCTAAAACCCCTGATCCCGAGCCCTTCCCCCAGTTCCAGCTAAAACAGGGAATTTTATCCTCCAATCCCTCAGTCCTGGCCCTGCCTGGACACAGCTCCAGGAATTTCCTCTGCTTGGATCGCCCCGGGACACCCCAAATTCCCATTTCCCCCCAGACCACCCCAAATTCCCAATTTCCCTCCCAGACCACCCCAAATTCCCAATTTCCCTCCCAGACCACCCCAAATTCCCATTTTCCTGCTGGAACACCCCAAATTCCCAATTTCTTCCTTTGGACCACCCCAAATATCCCCATTCCCCCCCAGACCACCCCAAATTCCCCGTTTCCCTCCCAGACAACCCCAAATATCCCCATTTCTAGCCCAGACCACCTCAAATTCCCAATTTCCCTCCCAGACCACCCCAAATTCCCATTTTCCTGCTGGAACACCCCAAATTCCCAATTTCTTCCTTTGGACCACCCCAAATATCCCCATTCCCCCCCAGACCACCCCAAATTCCCCGTTTCCCTCCCAGACAACCCCAAATATCCCCATTTCTAGCCCAGACCACCTCAAATTCCCAATTTCCCTCCCAGACCACCCCAAATTCCCAATTTCCCTCCCAGACCACCCCAAATTCCCAATTTCCCCCCCAGACCACCTCAAATTCCCCATTTCCTCCCAGACCACCCCAAATTCCCAATTCCCCCCCAGAACATAAAACAATATAAAATAATATTAAATAAATAATATTAAATAAAATAACGACAACTGCATTAATATCAGAATAAAACCCCGGTATAAAACAGAATAAAACGAGCACAGGATTATTTCTGTCAACGGGAAACGTCCCCGAGCCCGGCGCTGAGCCAGCCCCTCCCTGCAGGCCTGGGCGTGGAAGGAGAACATTCTGGAAGCGGGCACGCTGGAGCGCTACACGGTGGAGAGGAGCAACACGGGCAGCGGCGTGCTGTCCACGCTGAGCATCCAGAACGTCATGGACGCCGACTTCCAGACGCGCTACAACTGCACGGCCTGGAACAGCTTCGGGCCCGGCACGGCCATCATCCAGCTCGAGGAGAAAGGTGACACCCAGAGAGAGCTTGGGGACAATCTGGGTGGCCTTGAGTTGGGTTGGGTTGGGACAGCTTTGGGCCTGGCATGGCCATCATCCAGCTCGAGGAGAAAGGTGACACCCAGAGGAGCCTGGGGACAGCTTTGGTGACAGGGAATGGTCTCAAGTTGGGTTGGGTTGGGACACCTTTGGATCAGGCACAGCCATCATCCAGCTCGAGGAGAAAGGTGACATGGGAAACAGCTTGGGACAACCGGGGTGGCCTCCAGTTGGGTTGGGTTGGATTGGGACACCTTTGGATCAGGCACGGCCATCATCCAGCTTGAGGAGAAAGGTGACATGGGAGAGAGCTTGGGGACAATCGGGGTGGCCTTGAGTTGGGTTGGATTGGGACAGCTTTGGGCCCGGCACGGCCATCATCCAGCTCAAGGAGAAAGGTGACACCAGCAGGGACCTTGGGGACAATTTGGGTGGCCTCAAGTTGGGTTGGGTTGGGACAGCTTTGGGCCCGGCACGGCCATCAACCCAGAGGAGCCTGGGGACAGCTTGGGTGAAATGGAATGGTCTCAAGTTGGGTTGGGTTGGGACACCTTTGGATCAGGCACAGCCATCATCCAGCTCGAGGAGAAAGGTGACATGGGAAACAGCTTGGGACAACCGGGGTGGCCTCCAGTTGGGTTGGGTTGGGACAGCTTTGGGCCCTTCACGGCCATCATCCAGCTTGAGGAGAAAGGTGACATGGGAGAGAGCTTGGGGACAATCGGGGTGGCCTTGAGTTGGGTTGGATTGGGACAGCTTTGGGCCCGGCACGGCCATCATCCAGCTCAAGGAGAAAGGTGACACCAGCAGGGACCTTGGGGACAATTTGGGTGGCCTCAAGTTGGGTTGGGTTGGGACAGCTTTGGGCCCGGCACGGCCATCATGCAGCTGGAGGAGAAAGGTGACACCGGCAGGGAGCTTGGGGACAATCTGGGTGGCCTCAAGTTGGGTCAAGTTGGTTCAAGTTGGGACAATTTTGGGCTGGGCAAAGGTGACACCGGCAGGGAGCTTGGGGACAGCTCTGGGTGACCTCGAGTTGGAAATTTGAGGGAATTCCTCCTGGAAAAGGTGGTGAGGCCTTGGATGGGGTTGGGCTCTCCGAGGGATTCCTGGAATTGTGGGTGACCAGCTGGGGATCGGTCCCGTCTTGGACTGGGTGACCCCACAATTCTCCTGCGAGCCGCGTTCCGGGGGGATGCTGGGATGAGGGGCCTGGCTGTGGCGCTGGCCTCGTCCCCAAGCGGCCGTGTCCCCGCAGAGGTCCTGCCCGTGGGCATCATCGCCGGGGCCACCATCGGGGCCAGCATCCTCCTCATCAGCTGCCTGGTGGCCCTCGCCTGCTTCCTGTACCGGCGCCGCAAAGGAAGTGAGTGGGGACGGCGGGGCGGCCTTGGGGTCACGCCGGGGTCACTCTGGGTCACGCCGGGGTCACTCTGGGTGTCTCTGTGCAGGTCACTCAGCGGTCATTCTGTGGTCACTCAGGGGTCACGGTGTGTCTGTGGGGTGACTCTATGGTCACTCTGTGGTTACTCTGTGGTTACTCTGTGGTCACTATGGGTGTCTCTTCTGGGGTCACTTCACGGTCACTCTGTGGTCACTCTGGGTGTCTCTGTGAGGGTCACTCCATGGTCACTCTGTGGTCACTCTGAGTGTCACTTTGGGAGTCACTCCATGGCCACTCCATAGTCACACCATGGTCACTTTGTGGTCACTCCATGGTCACTCTGGGTGTCTCTTTGGGGGTCACTCCATGGTCACTCAGTGGTCACTCTGGGTGTCTCTTTGGGGGTCACTCCATGGCCACTCCATAGTCACACCATGGTCACTTTGTGGTCACTCCATGGTCACTCTGGGTGTCTCTTTGGGGGTCACTCCATGGTCACTCAGTGGTCACTCTGGGTGTCTCTTTGGGGGTCACTCCATGGCCACTCCATAGTCACACCATGGTCACTTTGTGGTCACTCCATGGTCACTCTGGGTGTCTCTTTGGGGGTCACTCCATGGCCACTCCATGGTCACACCGTGGTCACTTTGTGGTCACTCCATGGTCACTCTGGGTGTCTCTTTGGGGGTCACTCCATGGCCACTCCATGGTCACACCGTGGTCACTCTGTGGTCACTCCATGGTCACTCTGAGTGTCTCTTTGGTGGTGACTCCATGGTCACTCAGTGGTCACTCTGGGTGTCCCTTTGGGGGTCACTCCATGGCCACTCCATAGTCACTCAGTGGTCACTCTGTGGTCACTCCATGGTCACTCTGAGTGTCTCTTTGGTGGTGACTCCATGGTCACTCAGTGGTCACTCTGGGTGTCCCTTTGGGGGTCACTCCATGGCCACTCCATGGTCACTCAGTGGTCACTCTGGGTGTCTCTTTGGGGGTCACTCCATGGCCATTTGGGGGTCACACCATGGCCACTCCATGGTCACTTCATGGTCACTCTGGGTGTCTCTTTGGGTGTCTCTTTGGTGGTGACTCCATGGTCACTTCATGGTCACTCTGGGTGTCTCTTTGGGGGTCACTCCATGGTCACTCTGGTCACTCTGGGTGTCTCTATGGTGGTGAATCCGTGGTCACTCCGTGGTCACTCCGTGGTCGCCCGGCAGGCCGCAAGGACGTCACGCTGCGCAAGCTGGACATCAAGGTGGAGACGGTGAACCGGGAGCCGCTGACGCTGCACACGGACAGGGAGGAGGACACGGCCAGCGTGTCCACGGCCACCCGCGTCATGAAGGCCATCTACTCGGTGAGGGACACCGGGACACCGGGATCTGGGCAGGGAATTGTGGCCTGGGATGGTCAGGAGCCGCTGGTTCGGAGTGTCCCCAGCCCTGGGTGTGTCCCCAACCCTGGGAGTGTCCCCAAAGCCAGGTCGGAGCCACTCAGGATGGTGGGAACGTCCCTGCCCTCGGATCTTTAAGGATCTTTGGGGTCTTTTCCATCCCAAAGAATTCCAGCGTTCCCTGGGCTGGTTTAACGGGATTTTAGGGATCAGTCCTGGACCCATCCATGATCCCATGGATTCCCCATCCCTAATTCCATGGATTCCCCATCCCATGGGATTCCATGGGATTCCACGATCCCATGGATTGCCCATCCCTGATCCCACGGATCCCATGATCCCATGGATTCCCCATCCCTAGAAGCGCCCAGCTCCACCTTGGATCCACCTGGGCTATCGGGAGCCGCCCCTTCCCACCACGGGATGGGTCTCAAGGTTCCTCCCCGCCCATCTGCCCATCCCATTCCATAATTCCATAACTCCATATTCCCGTGGGTTTTCCAGTCGTTCAAGGATGACGTGGACTTGAAGCAGGACCTGCGCTGCGACACCATCGACACCCGCGAGGAGTACGAGCTCAAGGTCCGGTCCCGCCGGGATTTTAGGGTGGGAAGAGAGGGGCAGATCCCAAATTTTTTCCCCCCCCCCCCCCCCCGGAAAGGGTAGAAAACTCCAGGGATTTCAGGCGTGAGGAGGTGGAATTGTTGGGATGGAGGGGAAATTTTGGGAATGTACAGCTCGGATCTCTGGGATCGGGGATGAGATCGCGGGGAAGGAAGGAGGTGTTCTGAGGAGGGATTTGGGATGGATTTGAGGGAAAAAGGGGGGGTCAGGCTCTGGAGCAGTTCCCAAAGGAATGGGGACAGCCCCAAAAATTCCAGGAGTGTTTGGACAAGGCTCCCAAGGGACAGGGTGGGATTTTGGATGATTTCGGTGTGTCCATTCCAACCTCGATATCCCGTAATTCCAAGAGATCCCGAATTCCACAAAATCCAGCCCTGCCCTCTTCCCATCTCCCCGGAAATCCCAAAGGATTCCCACCCTCCCAAACAATCCCAAGGAACTCCCACTCCCCCAAACAATCCCAGAAGACCCTCCATTCCCCCCACCCCACGCCCTTCCCCACCCCAACCCCCCCCTTCACAAAAAATCCCCCAAAAATCCCCAGAATTCCCAAAACCCGCTGGATTTTCCCCGTGGTTCTTTTTCCCCCCACCCGCCTCCAGGACCCCACCAACGGCTACTACAACGTCCGCGCCCACGAGGACCGGCCGGCCTCGCGCTCCGTCCTCTACGGCGACTACCGCGCGCCCGGCCCCGGCCGCTTCGAGGCGCGGCCGCCCTCGCGGCTGTCGCACTCCAGCGGCTACGCCCAGCTCAGCTCCTACCCCCGCGGCGGCCCCGAGTTCCCCGCGGAGGCGGCGGCGGGGACGGCGGCGGGGGACACGGCCAGCCAGCTGTCCTACGAGAACTACGCGGGCGGCGCGGCCTTCCCGGGCGGCGCGGCCTTCCCGCCCTACCGGCTGGGCTTCGGCGCGGCCGCGGGGCTGGAGCGCGGCGCCTACGACGCCTACGAGGCCGTGGGCAAGTTCAGCAGCGCGGCGCGCTTCTCCTACACCTCGCAGCACTCGGACTACGGGCAGCGCTTCCAGCAGCGCATGCAGACGCACGTCTAGGGCGGGCAGGGCTCCGCGGGTACCTCACCGGCGTCCCCTGATATTCAGGGGTTCGCCCCGCGATCCCCACCCCGGTCCCCCTACCCCGGGTTTCCTTGGAGCTTCCGTTCATTCCGTTGGTTGTTTTTTTTGCCGGTACTTTCCCTCCCCCGCGGAGGGAAGGGAGGGGTTGATCGCCGCCTCGTCCCCTCCGTGTCGCCCGCCGCCGGGGTTTGAGCCCTGTTGTCGTTCCTGGAGCTTTCCCAGGGAGCAGCTCTGCGTGTCCCTAAACCCAGGGGGACGTGCAAATCCCAAAAACAGCCCCATCCCGAACCATTCCCATTGGGATCTGCGTTCCCAAACCCAGAGGGACACACAAATCCCAAAAAAAACCATCCCAAACTATTCCCGTTGGGATCTGCATTCCCAAACCCAGAGGGACACACAAATCCCAAAAAAACCCATCCCGAACTATTCCCGTTGGGATCTGCATTCCCAAACCCAGAGGGACACACAAATCCCAAAAAAACCCATCCCGAACCATTCCCGTTGGGATCTGCGTTCCCAATCCAGAGGGACACACAAATCCCAAAAACAGCCCCATTCCAAACCATTCCCATTCCCACTGGGATTGTGTGTTCCCAAATCCAGAGGGACATACAAATCCCAAAAAAACCCCATCCTAAACCATTCCCATTCCCCAAACCATTCCCATTGGGATTCGCCTGTCCCCAAATCTAGAGGGGACACGAAAATCCCAAAAACAGCCTCATCCCAAACCATTCCCATTCCCATTGGGATCCACACATCCCCAAATCCAGAGGGATGTGCAAATCCCAAAAACAGTCCATCCCCAACCATTCCCATTCCCTGAGGGCTCTGTGTGTCCCCAAATCCAGAGGGACGCGCAAATCCTACAAAAGCCCCATCCAAACCATTCCATTCCCCCATTCCACCAGGATCAGCAGGAGGGTTCTGCGTGTCCCCAAATCCAGAGGGACACACAAATCCCAAAACCAGCCCCATCCCGAACCATTCCCATCGGGATTCACGTGTCCCCAAATCCAGAGGGATGCACAAATCCCAAAACCAGCCCCATCCCGAACCATTCCCATTCCCACTGGGATCTGCATGTCCCCAAATCCAGAGGGACACACAAATCCCAAAACCAGCCCCATCCCGAACCATTCCCATTCCCACTGGGATCTGCATGTCCCCAAATCCAGAGGGACACACAAATCCCAAAACCAGCCCCATCCCGAACCATTCCCATTCCCACTGGGATTCACGTGTCCCCAAATCCAGAGGGACACACAAATCCCAAAACCAGCCCCATCCCGAACAATTCCCATTCCCATCGGGATCCACGTGTCCCCAAATCCAGAGGGATGCACAAATCCCAAAACCAGCCCCATCCCGAACCATTCCCATTCCCTGTGCCTTGATTTTGGGGCCACCCCTCCCTCAGGGACGGCTGCCCCCCGTTCTCCCCCATCCCCAAATCCCCCCGGAGCGGTGGGAATTGGGGGTTCTTGGGAGCAGCCCCCCGTTCCATACGCACATCGTTCCCATGGGAAAGGCGGCGCTGGGATCTCCCAACCCCCGTCCCGGGGTGCCCCCAGAGCTGGGGGGTCCCTCCTGTGAATGTAAATCCCGCTGGGAATCGCATTCCCGGGAATCCCGGGAAACCGAAACATCGGGGTCAGGAGCTCGGCCAGGCCCCTCTCCCAGTGCCGGGGACTGGGGGGCACTGGGGACCCCGGGTTGGGACTGGGGATGTGGGGGGGGTGAGTTTTGGAGGGAATTCCCAGCCCAAATTCCCAAATTCCCCAAGGGACCCCAGTTTGGGATTGAGGATTTGTTGGGGATGAGTTTTGGAGGGAATTCCCAGCCCCAATTCCCAAATTCCCAAAGGAGCCCCGGTTTGGGACAGGTGGTTTGTTGAGGATGAGTTTTGGAGGGAATTCCCAGCCCCAATTCCCAAATTCCCAAAGGAGCCCCAGTTTGGGATTGGGGATTTGGGGGGGATGAGTTTTGGAGGGAATTCCCAGCCCCAATTCCCAAATTCCCCAAGGGACCCCAATTTGGGATTGAGGATTTGTTGGGGATGAGTTTTGGAGGGAATTCCCAGAGGATTCCCAAATTCCCCAATTTGGGATTTTGTGGGTGAATTTTGGAGGGAATTCCCAGCCCCGATTCCCAAAAGAGGCCCAGTTTGGGATTGAGGATTTTGCAGGTGAATTTCGGAGGGAATTTCCGGTCGATTCCCAAAAAACCCTGGGATTAGGTACGAGACCCCTCCCCTCAAGGGCCCTCCCCGGGGGTCTGGAGCTTCCCAAAATCCCCCGAATTCCCAAAATCCCCCCATTGCCAATCCCGGTACGAGCCCTGGGACCCTCCCCCCGCCATTTCCTTCTCCCGAAATTCCCAAAAACCACAAAAAACCGGTCCCGTCAGGACGGGCCCAAAACCCCCCGGGGATCCCAAAGGTGCCTGAATTCACCCCAAATCCAGAGGGGGGAGGGAATTCCCGCTCCAGGTGCTGCACCCCAAACTCCAGAGCAATATCCCACGGGAAGAGGGGGAGCCCCGCCCCGGCCACCGGGAAGCTTTAAAATTCCAACCCCACTTTGGGGCTGGAAAATGGAATTTCCCCCTTTTTTTTTTTTTTTAGGTTGCTTTAGAGACCCTCCCCCGTTCCTTTTCCCCCCGAAATTCCGCGATCTCTCCCCATTCCCATTTTTTTTTTTATGTTGCATTTTCCTTTTTTTTTTTTTAAATATTCTGTACTATATTTTTAGTCTTAAACACGATATATTATATATATTTAATTTTTTTATATATATATATATATAAATATAAATGGTTAAAAAAAATTTAAGTGGCTGTGAGGTTTGTTTTTATTTTGGGGGGTATTTTACCTAAAAAGGGGGGATTTTTGTCATTCCTTAATCGTTTTTCTGGGAGAACTGAGGAATGGATGGAGGGGAAGAGGAATGTTTTCCATCTCCATCCCTAATTCCTACAATTCCAGCGTTCCCAAATCCCTGGAAGGGTTTTGGTGGCAACCACAACTCTAAAAAAACCGAACTTCCAGATGAATTTATTCCAGGGATTTACCTGATTTATTCCTGGCTTTATCCCTTTATTCCCCGGGAATTTTCATCACAAATCCCTCGCCTCATCCTTCCTTGCGCTTCCCTTTATATAAAACCGATTTTAATCCAATAATTAAATCAGGATTCCCTCAGGGAATCCGGAATTTGGCTTTTAGAAGGAAAATTCCCATTTTTTTCCCCTTCCCGCTGGAATTTCACCTTCCAGCCCTTCCCTTCCCCGGCCTGGTGACAAAACACAAATAAACCACTTTTATTGGAACTCTCCTTAAACCGCGGGCTGTTGGAAGAGGAAGAGGAGGAATCAGGAGGGATTGTCACGGATTTTACACGGAAAAATGGAAACGCGGGATCCACCGTGCCTCAGTTTCCCCGCACGGCTCTTCCAGCGCCCCCAGCCAGGGCACAGCGGGACAGGGGGACTGCGCTGCCACTCCACGGCTGGGATGCCACTCCAAGGAGGAACTGGCGAATTCCCGGCGGGAATTCCCGGGGTTTGTCCCCTCTCCCCTCACGAACGCCGCCATGACGGGCCCTGGCCGGGCCCGCAGCGAAGCACTCCCCCCGCCCCGCGCCCGCCCCCGGCTGGGCGGGCTCTGAGGGCCGCGTCCCTCAGCCGGGCTACTTATTACCTCGTGACACCGCGAGCTCTCGCGAGATTTGCCGCGCCGCCATAGTGTCGTGGGCGTGGCCTCCCCGTGACGTCATCGCCGTGCCCTGAGGGGATTTTGGGGTCCCGGGGGGTTCTGGGGACAAAAAACCCCAAATTCTCCCCTTTGTCCCCGCTTGGGTCCTCGGGGAGCGGCCCCGGGGGCGTTTGGGGGGTCCCAAAGGGGGCTTTGAGGGTCCCCCCCAGTTCTGTGGGGTTTGGGGGTGTCCCCCCTTCCGCTGGGACTGGGATTCCTGGATTTGGGATCACATCCCTAAATTTGGAACCCCTCGTTCCCTTATTTTGGGGTCCAATAACTGAATTGGGGGTCCACATCCCTGAATTTGGGTACAATCACTGAATTTGGGTCCACATCCCTGAATTTGGGGTCCACATCCCTGAATTTGGGGTTCACATCCCTGAATTTGGGTTCACATCCCTGAATTTGGGGTTCACATCCCTGAATTTGGGGTCCACATCCCTGAATTTGGGGTCCAATCACTGAACTGGGGATCCACATCCCTGAATTTGGGGTCCACATCCCTGAATTTGGGGTCCAATCCCTGAATTGGGGGTCCACATCCCTGAATTTGGGGTTCACATCCCTGAATTTGGGCTCCAATCCCTGAATTTGGGATCCCACCTCTCAATTTGGGGGTTCTCTATTCCCTGGATTTGGAGTTCCCACCTCTAAATTTGGGATCCCCCATTCCCTGGGTTTGGGACGGATCCCGTCGAGGCCTTCCCCACCCCCACCCCAGAAAACTCCGGATTTCCCCAAAACTTCCCCCAAATTCCTCGGTCCCTCGGCTCCTTCACCCCAAATCTGGGCCCTCCGGAATGTTCTGGAAAAGCTCTGGGATGGGGGAGGGATCCGTTTGTCCCGCGGAGCCCCCCCCACCGGCGGGGGCTGGGGAACGTGGGAATTCCTGAAAATCCCCAAATTCCCTAAAACCCCTTCGAATCCCTGAAAAACTCCTCAAAAATTCCCTAAAACCCCTTCAAATCCCTGAAACATTCCAAAAATTTCCTCAAAAAGTCCCTAAAATAATTTAAAATCCCTTAAAATTCCTGAAAATCTCTTAAAATTCCTCAAATATTCCCTAAAACCCCTTCAAATCGCGGGGGCTGGGGAACGCGGGAATTCCTGAAAATCCCCAAATTCCCTAAAACCCCTTCAAATCCCTGAAACATTCCAAAAATTTCCTCAAAAAGTCCCTAAAATAATTTAAAATCCCTTAAAATTCCTGAAAATCTCTTAAAATTCCTCAAATATTCCCTAAAACCCCTTCAAATCCCTGAAAATTCTGAAAAACTCCTCAAAAATTCCCGAAAATCCCTGAAAATTCCCTAAAACCCCTTCAAAACCCTGAAAATTCCAAAAATTTCCTCAAAAATTCCCTATAATCCCTGAAAATTCCTGAAAACCCCTTAAAATTCCCTAAAACCCCTTCAAATCCCTGAAAAATCCCTTAAAAGTCCCTAAAACCCCTTCAAATCCCTGAGAATTCCTAAAATTTCCTCAAAAAGTCCCTAAAATCCCTTAAAATTCCTGAAAACCCCTTAAAATCCCTGAAAAAAACCAAAAAAAACTCCTCAAAAAATCCCTAAAATCCTTTAAAATCCCTCAAAATCCCTCCAAAATTCCCTTAAAATCCCTGAAAAATCCTGGAAATCCCTGAAAATTCCAAAAATTTCCTCAAAAATTCCCTGAAATCCCTTAAAATTCCTGAAAATTCTGAAAAAATCCCTAAAATCCCTCTAAAATTCCTGAAAATCCCTTAAAATTCCTCAAAAATTCCCTGAAAATCCCTCTAAAATTCCTGAAAATTCTGAAAAATCCCCGAAAATCCCTTAAAATTCCTGAAAATTCCTGAACATTCCTGAAAATCTCTTCATCCCCTCCTGAAAGGAATGCAGGGATGGGGAAATGGGGCTGGGAAAAAAAGGGAAATTCCTTAAAATTCCAGCTTGGGACACTTCAGCTCCGTCCAACCCGAATTATTCCAGGATTCCCTAAAAATCCAGGTTCTCCTGGCCTTGGGAATGCATTTTCCTTCCTGGTTTTCCTGGCTCTGGTCCCAAATAAAACAAAAGAAAATGAAAATAAATTCCCGGCGTTGTTTCACCTCAGGATCCCTGGATTGTTTTGGAATAATTTCAATTTTCCTTCCAGGAATTCTCTGCATCCCGAGTTTCCCGGGCTGGGCTTTGCTCCAAGCTCTTCCCTCTCTCCCTCCTGGAATTCCAGCGGTTCCATCGCCCCTCCAGCCCTTCATTAACCCTTAATTGCTGTTAATTAGCCCAGGCCAGGACCCTCATTCCGATTTTCCAGGTGTTTTTTTTGGGGGGATGAGAGGCGGAAAAGGGGAATCCTGGAGGGATTTGGGGCACCCCAGGGCCCCCAAAAATCGATTTCTTTTTTTTTTTTTTTTTTGGGACACCTGGCTGCTCCCTTATCCATGGGAGAATTCCTGAAAAAAAAAAAAAAAAGTCCGGGAAAGTCAAATCCGGAATTAACCCCTTGGGTGCCAGCGGGTCCCCTCTCCCCGCATTCCCAACTTTCCAAAGGCATTTCCCAGCGGGAATTCCGGGAAGGGAAGGGAAGGGAAGGGAAGGGAAGGGAAAGGGAAGGGAAGGGGAGTGTTCTGAGAATTTAAAAAACTTCCCCTCTCCCCGCATTCCCAACTTTCCAAAGGCATTTCCCAGCGGGAATTCCGGGAAGGGAAGGGAAGGGAAGGGAAGGGAAGGGAAAGGGAAGGGA